ACCTTCCTTCTGAGGAGTGGCTGGTGGGTTTGAACCGCCAGCCTTCTGGTTAGCAGTCAAGTGCTTTAGCCACTATGCTACCAGAGCTCCTAGTCTAGTGAAATGATGTTGAATTTTAAGAGTTGATGTTGTTGTTGTTGTTGCTAGGTGCCGTCGAGTTGTCTCCAACTTATAGCAACCCTACACACAGCAGAATAAAACGCGGCCCAGTCCTGTGCCAGCCTCACGATCCTTGCTATACCTGAACCCATCGTGGTAGCCACTGTGTCAATCCTTCTTAAGGGCCTTCCTCTTTTTCATTGAGCCCAAGCACTACTATATAACTATCCTTTACCCTATTGACTATCAATTTATTTATCTGTAATAGAATGATATTGAAATAAAATTGTTACTACTGTCCACTCCACCTCCCATATCCCTATCTATAGCAGACACTAATAAATTACTCTTTTCCACCAAGCTGAGATGGGGCCTTCGTACCTGTCTTAACAGTTATCCAAGCAGCTACTTCCAATAGACTAAAACTAGCTCAGGTAAAACTCTTTTTTGCTATGGCTATAATAGATAATTGTTAATGTTCTTTTCAACTCTAGTTAATAATACACTGAGACTTATGAAAGTAGGAACCTATGTAAGGTGGAAACCTGCCAGAGGAGAAAAACTCATATATTTTCCACTGATAAAGAATGATAGAAAAGTGCACATTGATAGACTACACCAGGTCAAAGGTAGAAAACTTTCAAGACCCAGTAAGACAAGGCAGTACCCAAAAAAATGCCTTAGGCACTATACCTAGGCATTATACCACCAGAGGTCACTAATGGTATACCAGAATATCTACATTGTTGCTGTTAGTTGACAACAAGTCAATTCTGACTCATGGTAACCCCATGCATGCAGAATAGAAATCTCCACGAAGTTTTCAAAGCTGTGACCTATTGGAAGCAGATAACCAGGCCTGTCTTCGAGGAACATCTGGGTGAGTTCACACCACCAACTTTGGCTAAGAGTTGAGTGCTTAACCATTGTACCACCTAGGGACTTCTAAAGTACCTACATTAACATTAAATTTTCCATGGCCTTAGAAATCAACACTGACATCTACATTATATGGGTCAATGTTAAAGTCTATAGGAGCCCTGGTGGCCCAGTGGCTAAGCATTTAGCTGCTAACTGAAAGGTCAGTGGTTCAAACCCACCATTTGTTTCCGTAAGAGAAAGACGTAGCAGTCTGCTCCTGTAAGATTTACAGCCTTGGAAACTATGAGATAGTTGCTCTCTGTCCCACTGGGTCTCGATGGGTAGCAATTGACTCGATAGCAATGGTATGTTAAGATCTAATGAGATAATGGTTAATTTGTTTATATTTAACTAAAGTTATCATAAATTCAATTAATATTGTAAAGGCTATCATGCATGCCCAAAATTTAACCTTATTTAAGGTTTCATTTAATTTCAGATCTGAAAATTCATCTCCAGACCACTGATTATGGCAACTTCTTGGCTGATCAAACGGGTCCTCTTACTGTTTCCATCATCGATACCAAGATGAGGCAAAAGCTATGCAGAGAATTTGAGTATTTTCGGAACCATTCCCTGGAACCCCTCAGCACATTCTTCACCTACATGACGTAAGTGACAGCACTGAGCCCCAATTTGATTGTGTAAATGATTCATAAAAGTTACAGGTAGGATGTTAAGCTTGGGTGAGGCTTAAGATCTTTTCTATTGTTTATAAATTTAAATACCTTTAAATTTTAGCAACTATAAGATCACAGAATATTCTCAACATTAGAAAATGTTGTTAGTTGCCGTCCAGTTGGCTCCAACTCATAGCGATCCTATGTGTACAACAGAACAAAACATTGCCCGGTCCTGTGCCAGCCTCACAGTCTTTGCTATGAGCCCATTGTTGCAGCCAGTGTTTTAATCCATCTTGTTGAGGGTTGCTAAACCCTCTAGTTTATCAAGCATAATATCTTTCTCCAGGGCCTGGTCTCTTCTGATAATATAACCAAAGCAGATGAGACAAAGTCTGGTCATTCTCATTTCTAAGGCAAATTCTACCTGCATTTCTTCCAAGATGGATTTGTTCCTTCTTCTAGCAGTCCACAGTATTTTCAGTATTCTTTGCCAACATCACAATTCAAATGCATCAATGCTACTTTGGTCTTCCTTATTCATTGTCCAGCTTTCACATGCATATGAGGTGTTGAAAAGACTTTGGCCTAGGTTGTTGTTGTTGTTGTTATGTGCCATGGAGTCGGCCCCGACTCATATCGACCCCTCCTTGGGTTTCCGAGGCAGTATCACTACGGAAGTAGGATTGCCCAACCTTCCTTCCATTGAAAGAGGCTCCATGGGCAGATTTGCCCAGTGCAATATGATGTCTGATTTCCTGACTGCTGCTTCTATGGGTGTTGATTGTGGATCCAAGTAAAATGAAATCTTTGACAACTTCAGTCTTTTCTCCATTTATGGTGATATTGCTTATTGGTCCAGTTGTGAGAATTTTTGTTTTCTTCATAGTGAAGAGTAGAAAATAGACTCATGTAGGTAGTATTATCCTCCACATAAAGGAGTGTTTTCATTTTTCATCTTAAAAAATAGTAAGTGGTGCTGATGCTTAAGGTGTTCTGGCTGTTTCTACTGAAGGCAAATATTATGTGGCATTCCTAGATCATTTGTCTTTAAATGGAGGTGGAATCGAAGTGTCACACATTGTTCTCAAGGCCACATCTAACCTTTTCTGGTTCCCATGGAACAGAGTAAGTGGCCCCTCTCATAGTTTTATGTGTTCTATTTTTTTCCCCTCTCCATCACCAACAGTTCCAACTCTTTCAGTGTGAAAGCCCAAGTACAAAAGTTGGCAATAGAGGAGCTGTTGCATGTAGATATAAATTAGACGTAACACACACAGCTGTGAAAGCAAGGTCCAGTCCTGAGACTGGTGCCCGTCACATGGAGATTCAATATATTTGTGGAAAGAAGCTAAAAATGAAGAAATGCAAAGGCCTAGAAACCAGAAATTAATCAAGAGAAAAATAGCAATAGTGCTTCAGCAAACACTGTGTTTGGCCCTAGAGGTAGAAAATTAAATGCTATATGAATAAAAGAAATAGGTCATTGGGATTTGCGAAAGTGTGACTTTGGGAGATGACCAAGGAGTTTCAGAAGTGATTTCCATTTGAATAAGAGAGAATGGCTGAATGAAGTGAATAGCACCTTCTAAAATAAAAAAAGCAGCTTCAACTCTCTGCTTCAGTCTGCTGGGTTGATTGGGCTTGGAACCAAGTAATATAACTGCACTACCTCAAGGACCAGGCACCAAAATGAATCAGCTTATCGGACCAGGAGGATGCTCTTTCTGTCCTCTTTCCTTTCCTCTATCCATCCATTTCTCTGCCAGTCCATCCTGCTATTCTACAAATAACAGTGACTGTCCTTGAGGCACCTTTATAGTCCAGTGAACAAGACAATGGAAACTAAGAATATCCAAATATATCTGTGAAGCTGAACAAAACTAAATGGTCTCTAACTGCTGCACATGACTTTAATTTGATGGGAAAATAATGTGAAAGTCAGCAAGATTCCGCACACTGTAGCAGATATTTCTTGAAATCTAAATATGGCACTCAGAAAATACTCTGGAAACAGAACTGCATTTTCAGGCTTTTGGCACAGAGAGAAACCAGTGTTACCTTTCTGATGTTGATAGTGAGCAAGACCAGAAGGAAAGGCCCTTTTGTTTGGCATTTCATATCACATCTATTTGAATGTCCAATTTATTTAATGAATAGTATCTTTAAGGAAAAAAAGAAAAAACCAAGGTAGTCAAGGGACATGATTATAATTGTCCAAGCGTTCAGAAAGTCATACACTAAAAGCATTCCTCTGTCCCATATGCATGTCCCCTTGTTCCCCACCCAGTTCCTTTCCCCAAAGTAACCACTTTTCAGTTTCTTATGTATTTTTTCCAGAAAAAAAGTGTTTATGTCTGTATGTGTATATTAATATACACTTTACACAGCCCATCCCCACATATCAAATTTATACAAGTGGAATAATATTCCTTCTGTACTTTTTTCCCACTTAATGATGGCACATAACAACAACAACAACAATACTTCTTCGTAATATCCTTGTCAACATCACTCTGTTTCATAACTACATAGAATTCCATGTCTTGTATGTACCATTACTCAATTTACAAGTCATGTATTAATGAATAATTAAATTGTTTTTATTTTTTCCATTACAAAACATTTTGCTATTAGTATCTTCCTGCTTAGGTCTTAAATTTATTTTTAAGTGGTGAGTCAAAGGGATGTTCATTTTTAATTTTGGTAACTACTGCTAAATTGATCTTAACAAAGATAACATCAATTTGCACCCCAAAACAGTGCATGAGGGCCTGTTTCCTTATACTATTACCAACTTTGGATGTTACTTTTTAACTTTAACCAGTCCAATAGGTTTTTTAAAAATAGTATCTCTTTGCTTCAATTTCTATTTTTTTATGAGTGAAATTGAAAATCATTTCATATATATTAGTCTTATGTATTTGCTACCTGTCTTAGTTACCTAGCACTACCATAACAATAGCAACAACAATACCATAAATGGGTAGTTTTAAAGAAGAGAAATTTATTATTTCACAGTTGTGGAGGCCAGAAGTTCAAATCAGAGCACTGGTTCCAGGGGACTATTCCTCCCCATCAATGGCCCCTGGCATCTTTTTTTTTTTTCCTTTTCCATTCCTTGGCTTGACTAGTTCACACATGCTCTCACTTCTCTGTCTGTTTCTGTCTCTCTGTATCGTGCTCCCCATTGTAATACACAACTCAAAAGGGATTAGTTTTAGCACCCAGTCTACTCCAGTACGACCTCATTAACAACAAAAAAGAAAACCTTATTTCCAAACAGGGTCAAATTTACAGATACCAAAACAAATCAAATCCACTGCCATGGAGTCAATTCCAATTCATTGCGACCCAACAGGATAGAGTAGAACTGCCCCATAGGGTGTCTAACCCTGTAAATCTTTATAGAAGGAGACTGCCTCAACTTTCTCCTGCAGAGCAGCTGATGGGTTTGGTTCCCCAAAATTCACATCCTTCCTACATGCAAAATACATCATCCCCTCCCAACATCTCCAAAGTCTTAATCCAACATCTACTCTAAGTCCAAAATCTCATCTTTTGAATCGTTTAAATCAAGGATGAGTGAGACTATGGGTTTTTTCCATCCTGGGGCAGAATTCATCTCCATCTGCGGACCTATGTAGTCTAGAACACAATTTATCTGCTTCCAAAGTGCAAGGATGGAATGAGCACAAAGTAGACTTGTTGTTGTTGTTATGTTTCATTGAGTTGGACCCAGCTCATAGCGACCCCTCCTTGGGTTTCTGCAGCAGTATTACTACAGAAGTAGATTGCCCTTCCAAAAAGAGAAATTGGAGGGAAAGAAGGTGTCATGGGTACTAAACAAAACCAAAATCCAGCAGAGTAGATCTCATTAGATCTCAAGACTTCAAAATAATCTTCTGTTCTTGGGGACCATATGGATGTTGGCCGTGCCCAATGGACTTTGGACCTGGGTCTCCCAACCCCTCAGGATGGCAACATCACCCTTTATAACCTAGGTAGCCTTGCCCTTTGAAACTCAAGAAGTCCTGACCACTGCCACCCCTACCCTCATTCTCCTTTTGACAGCCTGCTCATTTCTGAACTGCCCCTGGGAGCCTCCTTTCCTTTTCTTATAGGACAACAGATGACCTGATGTTAGACCTGGAAAGAACCATAGCATTAATTAATCAAACATCCTTTTTAACAATAAACTACCATGTTGTTCTAGTTAAAATATGCTATATCTCTAGACACACACATACACACAAATATTGATAGTCATTGTTGCTGTGTGCCATCATGTTGATTCTGACTCATAGCAGCCCTATGAGACTCATAGATAGGCCTATTGGAACTGTCCTACAGGGTTTCCTAAGCTGTAATCTTTACAGAACAGATTGCCAGGGTTTTATTTTATTTTATTTGTTGTTGTTGTTTGTTTTTTTCCCCCGCAGAGAGGCTGGTGGGTTCGAACCACTGACTTTTTGATTAACAACAAGGCTTAACTGTTTCATCACCAGGGCTTCTTATTTATAGTCATTGATGTATAGGATCCCTGGTGGTGCAGTGGTTAAGCTCTCAGCTGCTAACTGAAATGTCAGTGGTTCAAACCCACTAGTCTCTGCAGCAGAAAGATGGGGCAGTCTGCTTTCAAAAACATTACAGACTTGAAGGTTCCAGGCAAAGAAAAATACAAAACAAAATTCAAAATCATGAAAAAGACCAGATTAATAGAGACTGGTGAAACCCCAGAGACTATGGCCACTAGACACTCTTCAAATCTAGAACTAAACCTACTCCTGGAGATCACCTTTCAGCCAAACAACAGACATTCCCATAAAATGAACAGTAACACCCATGAGGAACATGTTTCTCAGAACAATCAACCATATAAAACCAAAAGGGCAGCATTTGCCCAAAAAAAGTCATATAGAGAAGGCAGAAATGGGCAGGAAAGAAGGGTGGATGGAAAGAAAAAGCCCAGGGAGGAAGCAGGAAGAGTG